GTCGCCCCCACGCTCGCGCCGGCTTCGAGCAGCAGCCGCACCGCCTCGGCTTGCCCGTGACGAGCGGCCCAGGTCAGCAGCGTGTCTTGCGTGTTGGTGTCGAGCCGCGCGTCGAGCCTGCCGCGCGTCCGCCGACCGGAGAGGAAGGCGCGCAGCGAGCCCAGGTCGCCCACCGCCAGGTAGCCCAGAGGAAGGCTAACGCCGCTCATCTGCCCCCTGCCCGCTCATGCCGCCAGAAAGAAGAAAACGAGCGCCTTCAGCATGTCCTGGTACGGAGGCGTCGCCGCCGCGCTTGCGCGCGCGCGGGGCGGCGCCGGAGCCCACCTGCTGGCTGGCACCGCCACGGCGCGACGCCCGGGGCGGGACGCGGGGTCGAGAAGAAGACTCAGAGCGAGGCTTCAGGGCAGCTCCACAACGAGCATTCTGACGCCGAGAAGCTCTCTGGCGACGAGCAGCGGCGGAGAGGCCTGGGCGATCCGGCCGATTCGGCGGCGCGCGGCGCGCAGGCACCCCACCCGCCCACGGCCGCAGCGGCGTGGCTGGCGAGGACCGCCCTCGCCTTCCTCGGCGAGAATGGCGAAACTCTCCTCGCAGTCCTACATCCAAAACGGCGACTCGCGCGCGTGGCACGATTGGCCCCTCGGGCGCGCTCGATGCCCAGCCCCGCGGCGCGTCGTTCCGTTTTGCCGCGGTGCCGCATTCGTCGAAGTGCTTCTTTAGCAGGCGGTGGACTGTCGGCTGCGAGGACGGTCGCACTTGCGCGAGGCGAGGCGAGCATTGCTGCGCATTGCATGCGCCATGACTCGCGCTAGCGCCTGCGGGAGCTCCTGGCTGAGCGTAGGTTGAGTCCAGGCGAGTTGCGCTGGCCACGATCGCTGCGCCAAGCCGAGCTGACGCGCCGAGGCGCCGGCCAGTCGCAGCCGTGAGACATGCCACAGCAGCAGACTCTGGCACCTCTGCCACCCATTGGGCGGGAAGACAGAAGGCCAGGCCAGCGCCCAGGCAAGTGCAACGCGCCTCATGTCGGAGAGCGACGTGCCTCGTTCACCGCTTATGATGTAGAGGTTGTTGACTTGGTTGTTGTAGAGATTTCACATTGTCCTATGTAACGACGGTCAACGGACCTGTCCACTCGTCGTGTCCTCCTGTGTCCAGCGCGCACGGCGCACAGCGGCGCAGCGGCCCTCCAGTGCAAGCGGTCTGTCGTCAGCAAGGAGAGTGGACTCAGCTGCCAAATGCCAAAAAATCCGCTATACGGCTCTATCCCGTATCCGGCAAATCGCGCCTGTATGTGTACCGTCTACGCAAAAGAGCGAACACGGGCCACTCGTTTGTTTGGCAAGCGCTCGCGGCCGGCGCTCAATCCTGCCGACACGATACATGCGAAGTACTCCCGGACCACTCCCTCCCCACCTCGACAGAGACCGGGACACTCGCTGGTGCGCGCCCCTCCTAGCGCCAAACACCGGCGGCTGCACACGGCTAGCAAGCTGGCCGGAGGCCGGCTACACCGTCTCCTGCTCGGGCGAGAGCGCCTCGAGCATTTTGGAGATGTCCTGCTCGCGCGCCCCGCCGGCGGCCGGCAAGTACTCCGACTCGGACAACGTCGCGGCCACGTTGCAAGCGCGCGGGTCGAGCAGCGACCGGACGATCACCTCTGCCACGTCGGCGCGCGAGACGGACCCGCGCGCGCGCGCCGCGCTCGCCGCCTCCTGCGAGAAGACGAGGCGACGCACGCCGCCGGGTAAGTCGTCGAGCAGCGCCTAGCGAGCGGCAAGTCGAGGAAGTGTCTCGGAAGTGTCTCGGAAGTGTCTCGGACGTGTCTCGTACTAGGCCCCGGGCACGGGGCGGCATCAGACAGGGGCTGGGCCGAAACCTGTCCTAGAGCCTTCCGAGGACTTTCAGAGACAGTGGCGACGCAGGTTGCCCGTACCTTAAACAGCCTGGCTGCGGGGCGGGGAG